TAGGGAAAAGCTGTTTTACTAATGGTAGCTCTAGATTGCTAACTCCTGAACCTTACGTCAAATAAGAAGTGGGTTTCCATCATGTGCGCAGTTCCCAAAAGCAACTTGGCTGGATTTTCTCAGATAATGAAAAACGTATTACGGAGAGAGCTGAGCGTTAGATGTTGGACACTTATCCTTGTATTAGGATGTTCTAGTTAACCTCTTGAATTGCTGAAGTCTGTCACTTGGAGCTATTGGCTCCTTTTATGATTTCTACTTAGTTATCTCGTAAGAAGAAATTGCTGGCCTCCTGTTAGGCAACTCTTTAGAGTCTCTTTTAACTGTTAATGTATAATTATTTTTTATGAGACTTAGAAGCTGACTCTTTGACTGGGAGATGTGTTTTTTTTAGCTTTCCATGAAATTGTTCACTTGAGAGAAAAAAAGAGAAGTCATACCAAACCTTTTCTTACACTAATGACAAAAGTTAGTTATTTTTAATGTTTACATTCCCACTTACCCTAAGAGAACGGCCTAGCTCTTTTTTTCCAACACAGTAGTGTTGAGTGACTGCTATTTGAATCTGATTGGGTTTTCTTTTACCCTGTCATGGTATTTACTAGTCCTGTGCTATTTTGTCATGGGCGATGCTATAGATTTCATAGCAGTATTTCTTCAGAGTTAAATGTCAATTCAAAGAACACCTGTTATGTATTCCAGCAAAGAAGTGTGAAACATTGCATGTGAAATGCAGTGGCCAAGGTGAATTGAGTTGTATGTGGAGAAGACCGAAGTGCAGGAGAGAGACTGCTGAGGAGGTCAATTCTCAGGTAGAAAATAGGTTAATCATTTGGGGAGGAGATTAAAACATTAGGAGCTGTTTTTAGAAGACAATATATAAACAATTATAGTGCAAGAATATTTTTAAATAACAGAAGAAGTGCTGAAGTTGCTAGGAATACTTCATAGTGGGTATATTTATATCCTTATACCTATATACAGATAAAGACTTAAGCTTTATGCTCACTTAAGTAAAAATACTTCAGAAGGGAGATGTGGCTGGAGAACCACTGTTGGCACAAAGGACTAGGTAATAGTAATGACAGTTCACCAGCACTGTGGTGTCTTCAAAGGCATGTAGCTTTAAAGGATTACTGGTGTAGTGGTCCAAGGAGGGTTGTAATGCCAGGAGGAGGCAAGGAAGACCTCATATGGCCATAGGAAACATGAAAATAGTGAACACAATGTTGTGGAGCTCTGTTTATCAAATGGGGTAATGCCCACTTCGATGTGTTATGGTACTTGCATTAAATGAGTTTAAGTTCAAGACAAGTTTGCTTTAAAATCTTCATTTTAGAATTCTAAAGGAAAAACTTGGGCAGTTTTTAAAGTGTTTTTTTTTAAAGGTAAAACCAACAACAGGAAGTACCCTCACCATCCCAGTTAATGTGCACACTGCTTTCCTATCCAGCAAAAATATATTGATGTGACTTTACACGTAGACAGGGCGCAGAGACTTCCCAGTAGTGGGGACATACTTTTTACAAGGGCTTGTAGCAATAGGACAAGGCATAATGGCTTTAAACTGGAAGAGGGGAGATTTAGGTTAGACATTATAAGGAAATTTTTCACTATGAGGGTGGTGAGACACTGGAACAGGTTGCCCAGGGAAGTTGTGGATGCCCTCTCCCTGGAGGTGTTCAAGGCCAGGTTGGATGGGGCTTGGAGAAACCTGGTTTAGTTGGAGGTGTCCCTGTCCATGGCAGGGGGGTTGGAACTAGATGATCTTTGAGGTCTTTTCCAATCCAAACCATTCTATCATTCTGTGATCTAGCAGGGTCAGGATGCTGTTGTGATAAGGTGATGTGCCCTAACGTACCATTCCAGGCACAGTGAAATCTGTGGTACCCAGACTTGAGAGCAAAGGAGAAGAGATTTGAAAAATAATGAGAAACTAAAAGGGAAATAAATAAATTATTTAGCATCTTGGCTGTGTTGTGCAGTCATCACAGCAAAAGATTGTAGGGCAGTATGATGTCTTTGTTTGTGTGAAGCCCTCCCAGATGCATGGGGTAGCGTGTAAGGAGTCAGTGAAGGAGCATACAGAGTTTTCACTGTGAGCTGACTGCAGGTGGGGATCAAGAAGTTGGTAGATTGAGAAGAGAGGCTGTAGGTCAGGCTTCTTTGTGAAGGAGCAAAGAGGATTGGGGGAGGGTAAAGTTCAGGTCAGTAAAGGGATCTTTGCATCATCAGCTGAACAAATGTGAGCAGGGTGTCAAGCACCACCACATCCTTTTATCTGTAATTAGGACATAAGATGAGGGTAGATTAAATATGCACAACTCAGTTTTTTTGTGCTAATATCTATGGTCTAGTTGAGATAGAAGAAAATGAAGATACCACATTGTAGTTGTGATCAAAGTTGATGACAGGATACAAGCAATATTATGTGGGCCAAAATGTGTATTTTAAGAGAAGAAAGAATACTAATCACCAGTACTAAAAAAACGAGATAGCTTTTTTTAGTTGGTGTGAAAACTCACTTGGATGAACCAAGAGAATGTTCTTGTTTCTGTTAAAGAAAGCTTCAAATAGGCTCTAGCATCAGCTTCCTTCTGTAGCAAGCAAGTGCTCTGTTGGGCAGGCTTTCTCTGTGGGAAGGTCAGGGATGGGTTGGGTAGTTCAGAGCTGTCTGGAAATGTTACTGATGAGAAGCTGTAAAAATGCTAGTGTGAATTGTTCCTCAGAGGAAAAGTATGATGAAAAATTGCACTTCAGGAGACTGTTCTCAAGAATTATGTAGAATTCTGTCAGGAAATTTCCTTTGAACAGCTGTTTGTATACTTCTGTCTCTTTCTGAACATGAGAGATCACACTGCACACCCCAAATCTGTATGATAGGCTCAGTATCCAATTGTCATCCAACTTTCATCTGCAAATCCAGAAATATCTTGGGAAGTTCTGAATCTGAAACTTTTCCATGAGAACTTCTGCTTCTCTAACTAATGAACTGATCTTGCTTTGCTTTGATATATTTTGGTGGTGGTGGTGCTTTGTTTTGTGTTTTGTTTCGGTTGAGTTTTTTCCTTTAAATTTAGGCCCTGACTGGCTCTACTTCTTTATAGTTGAACCAAACATACTAAATGAAGCTAAGTGGATACTAAAAACTAGCATGAAGATTAAAAACTGTGGATGCTTTATCCATACTGTGTGGTTTTGTGATCTGGTAGTTCTTCCAGGCCATTCCACCTTAATTTATGTGGTTTTATGTGTATGTTTTTAAAATTATTTCAGGCAAAACCAAAATAATGAACATCACGAAATATTGTACCTGCTGTTATTGGATAGGTGTGAAGGTTTGTGCAGCTGATGGATTTGAGTCTTCTCTAACACTTCATTTCATCTTTGTTGTTACAGGAAATAATGAAAGAAGAGTGCCACAACTCTTGATCAGAGACCTGAAATTTGAGAAGAAGTCATTAGCTAAGCTCATGTTTTCTCCTGATCAAGAAAATCATCCATCAAAAGCACCAGTTAAATATGGTGAATTGATCGTATTAGGGTAAGTGTTTACATCTTGGTGGGAAGTGAAAATGTAGAATTTCAGGGTGTGCTTTTAAAGCAGGTTGTGTGTTTTTAATGCAGGTTGCTGTGAGAGATGGTCCCATGACCTCTCTCTTGAACTCTATTTTGCAGTGCATCTAGGGAGCATGCAACTGAATGATGAGTTGATCAGCTTTTCTTTGGTAGCTGATGTCATGTAAGGGAGAGAGTGGAGGGAGGTGTTACACCTAATGTGATGTGTTGGAAAGAACATGGAGGTATAGCTCCAAACAGCTGAGTTAGGTGTAAGTTTATTTTTGGCTCTTGTTTTCATCCCAGGTAAGCATTTCAGGACAAAGGCAGCCAATTTGTGAAGGCTTTCCAAATTGATTCCAGGTTGTACCTAGACAGATGACTAATGTGATAATATGGGGTTCCCTAAGACTTCAAGTAAAATGAAAGGAGTTTCATAAGAACGTGGTCACTGACTCTAATATCAAAGTGCAAACAGAAGGTTTTAATAAAGCAAGTTTGCTGGCCGGCCTGTTTATTTTGACACGTTCAAAGGGAGGATCTGAGGGTTTTCTAATGGATTAAATTGAAGTCTCAGAGGATGATGTATCTATTTCTTATGAGTTTATTTTATTTCAACAAAAATCCCCTAAAATACTAGTGTGGGAAACTGTTCTTTTCTTCCTCACATAAATCTAAACAAAAGACTCTAAACCCTCTCCACCAGGGTCGGTGAGTATTTACAATCTTTAATTTACAGTGTGAATACCAAATATAAAAATAAAGCAACAGATGGGCATATAAGCTTCCTTGTTTTCATGTTTGTGACCCAAGTCTTTAGCTTGTGGATAGTAGCTTTGAAGTTAATCTGTCTAGCATTCCTTGCCCTACAATCTTTGGGTGTATGTGCTGTGATTTTGTGGGCATGTTTCATTATTGTGTTTATCAATTCTCAGATTTGAATAGATGTGATTAATTGGGAATCTGTAATTATTAATATCATACTAATTAAGAATTAACATTTTTGTAGCTCTGTATCTCACCAGAAGCTAAGTAATACAGGAAGATTGACTTTGTTCTTTTTCTGTGCATTTTAATAGGTACAATGGGTCTCTCCCAAATGGAGATAGAGGAAGAAGAAAAAGTAGGTTTGCTTTATTTAAAAGGCCCAAGGCAAATGGGGTGAAACCTAGCACTGTGCATATTGCCTGTACCCCTCAAGCAGCAAAGGTAAGCTCAATTTGTTTAGTTGAGTCTTATTTTCTCTTGGTGCTGTCTAAAGAGTTCAGTGAAGTCAGTGCTGTTAGGTTGAGACGAAATGATGTAAAAATCATGAAGTTCTGGCTGCAAAAAGAATGGCTAGTGTTTATCCAAGGTTTTTTGGTACTTGTTAGGGTTAGCAAGAAACTGTTCAGCAAAACAGATCTGGTGCCCAGTCTTTGCCCCGTCCAAAAAGAAAAATGTTTATTTTTGAAACGTGAATGTTCAGGGTACAGGCTAGTCATGTAAAACACTTTGTAGTTTGTTTTCTTTCCAAACTCATTACAGACATCTGTTCTAACCTTCCTGGTTTTGCTCACATTCATGCTTTAGGGCTAGCTTTGCTTCACGTGAAGCTGGCTTTTCAATGATCCTTTGCCAAAGCTCTGTGTGCACTTGTTAGTCTCTCCAATGGGTAGGAGTTCCCTAGGGACAAGGACAGGTGGGTTTTGCAGGGCACATTTTATGCTGCTGGTGACCAAGTTAGGAGTTCCCATTAAGATGCAGTAAAGGAAGGGCTTAGGCACTGAAGTGGAATTGTATTTCATGTCAAAACTAATACATTATAGCTAATGTATAACCACTAAATATTTCTGTATGGTGGCAATTCAAGTATGTGTACAATTATGTTTAATTAGAAATTAAAAAACCAAGGGAATTTGAGAATGCTTAGTGGTGTTTGAGTGATCTCCAGTGTTGAGATCAGGTCCTGGAACAACTACAGTAGTATGATGTGTTTGACTCCCTAAATACCTTGACACTTCAGAATATCGATTCCTAAATGCAGGGAATGGCATAAGGTATTCTGAAATCAAAAGCATTCTGCTAACCAAAGATAGTGTAATAAAACTATTTATAGGAGATCTGTGAAGAGAACATTCATTTTTGGTAATTCTTTATGGTCTTCAAGTAAGTGCTATTTAGAAGTACTTTTAGAAGAGCATTTGTTCATTTCCTACTGGATAGATGCAGAATGAAAATCTAGTCTAACAAACAGAAACCTAGATTACTTTGCTGTAACTTCTGCAACCTGTGCTTAGTTTCTTCATTTTACACTGTTTACCACCACTCCTTTTTATGGTTTTTGTCTGTGTATCTTATTAATCATCACTGATTTTTAGCATGAACTTGGATCCTGTTTTTAGGATGAAGTCCCAAAGTTTTTGTCATCACTTTTCTGTTCAGGCTGAACACCATGGGGGTGTTACATTCAGTTTTAGCCTTTGCATTCAGTTTCTTTGTTCTTATATGTCAAGGCCAGCATTGCTTTAACACGAAGCATGACTAATAATATTTCTTGGTGACGTGTGTTTTGTTGTAGCGTGTGGTAAAGAGACCAGTCTGGTCTGTTGCTGAATCAATCCTGCAGCTTTTTAATGACCAGGACTGTTGTTTTGTTGTTTTGTTTTTTTTTGTAGTTTAGCTACAGCTGTGTCACTAGCACCCATCTGCCTTAGTGCATTAATTGAGCAGAACAAGAGTATGGTTATATATATTGTCTGCTTTGCTGCTGTATTCAGTAGTTATTGTTCACTGGTTTAATAACATTTGGCATTTTTTCCACAGGCAATAAGTAACAAGGACCAACACAGCATATCTTACACTTTGTCTCGGGCTCAGACTGTAGTAGTTGAATATACACATGACAGCAACACAGATATGTTCCAGGTATGTGAACTAAATATTATATATAGATAGTTTATATATATACACATGTATTTTTGTTTTGGTAGTTGCTAACAAGATACCACCTCAAATAGGCTTTTTTCCTCAGACCCAAAAGTTTATATATGTCCCTTTCTGCACTTTACTGTTCAGAGACCTTTGATTCTGTTGATTCCCAAGGCCATCACATGAAGAAGGCCGTATATCTGTGCATCTCTTTTAGGCTTGGTCAGAGGTGAAAGGGTTTTTTTTGGTGACTAATGCACATGATTATGGTTCTGCCCTTTGATTGCCAGCCTGCAGGTCACGTAACCTGTCTCCTAGTCCCTCCTTGCAAAAAGGAGAATAAAGTGCACAGTTCCCTTTAAGCACTTGCAACTTTGCTTCTAGCATTTACAAAGGGATTTGGGATCAGCCAGTTGGAGACAGGATAGAAGAAATACAATGTGAAAATACAGGAAAGCTTTTGACACAACTAATATGAAAAATACTCCTAACTGCTTCAAGCAGACCCAGAAATAAGTCTAAAGCCATGAAAAATGTGGAGAGATGTGCTGGCAGTTCAGAGCAACTTAGCTGCTGCTCCTGTATGTATGAGAAGGAACCACAAACACATTTGCAGCTGTGATGTGCACTCATATCTTACAACTGTTTCCTGTTTTTCTCAAAAAAAAAGGGGGTTGTTTTGGGGTTTTTTTTGTGTGCTTTTAATTCTGGCACTGATTTTTTTTGTTGTTGCTAATTGATGGCAAGGAGTTTTGCTGTCACAGCATTTAGCTGTGACACCACTGCAGGATCTAAGGAGGTGGGGGGTGTTGGTAAGTGGTGGAGAAGGCTGCTGTGCAACTTGCAAATACCTGAATAGAGCAAAAGGGCCGTAACAAACTGACTGCAGCAGAAGCTATTGTTTGTGTAAGTGTTCTCTCTTCAGGCACGCTGTGGCATGTATGCTGCTCTAGAATTGCCAGTGGCAATCCCTGTGTACTGATGGGTTATCCTGCCTAAGAAGCAATACATTCTGACAAAGCAGTTTCAGTCTCATGCAAGCTCTTCATCCAGCCTTCACCAAAATGCACCCCAGGGTTCTGGGTATCCTGCCCAGCCATTAGTCTTAATATAACCAGCTATTTTATTTTATAAGAGGCTGTTGAGAGCTCTGGAAGTTAGTGAAGGGTAGTAGTGTGCGAGTGAGCTTTAAACCTGGATATGTGGATGTTTGTGAGAGGAATATAGCTTCTCTTCATGCTTTAAAAGGAAAAGGGCAAGATTAGTTGACTGGAAAAGCAGTGAAACCCATGCAATTCTGTCAAACCCAGCAGAGGTCTATGGGACTGCAAAACTCATTATTTCATGCAATCAGAAAAGAAGGCACAACTACTAGAAAAATCTGGTTGTAATGAGACATTGCATTCCTGTTGTGTTCTATGCATGTTAATGTAAACCCTCCCTGCCTTGTCTACCTGGTCTTTCCCGATAGATTTGCTGTTTCTCAGTGCCCTACTGAAGCTGGAGAGTCAGCTCACATAATCTAATTTTCCTACATCTATCCCTCCACCTAGGCTGGCATTGTTCAGAATATTCTGGGCATGCAAAGTGACAGAATGTCACTTTTCTTGCAGCTAACTGCTGTTTCCTGGCTGTTTTGGCACTGCTGCAGCTGGTCCAGTTGACTTGAGTGTAACCTTTCTGATGAGAAGGCCTTCAATAGGAAATCATCTCAGAATTGACTTGATTACATCATTTTATTTCCCCTTCCTTTGGTTTGCTGTACTCAGTCTTCAGAATAACTAAGATCACAAGGAGGTGGAATAATGTATCAATTCAGATTATGCTTTAGAAACCTAAATTTAGATAGGTGCAGAGGAATGCTTCAGGCTGGAATGTCATGATCTTTTCCTTATTTTCAAATGTTTTGAGTTTGAATATTCATAGACCCAAAGGCAAACTTCTAAACAGGTTTGTTGTGTTGTTTTTTTAATCCCTTTCCAGATTGGTCGGTCAACGGAGAGTCCTATTGACTTTGTTGTGACAGACACAGTTCCTGGAAGTCAGAGTAATTCAGATACGCAGTCTGTGCAGAGCACTATATCAAGGTTTGCCTGCAGAATCATATGTGAACGTAACCCTCCTTTTACAGCAAGAATATATGCTGCAGGTTTTGACTCCTCAAAAAACATCTTTCTTGGGGTAAGGGAACTCGTCCTTTTTTCTCAGAGTTCAGTGCAGGCTTATTCTTAAACTCATAAACTACTTAAATTCATAGCTCTGCTTCAGCCAAATTACAGGTTTTCATTGATGTCATTTAAATTTCTCTTAGGAGAAAGCTGCAAAGTGGAAGACATCAGATGGGCAAATGGACGGACTAACCACAAATGGAGTTCTTGTTATGCATCCCCGTAATGGATTTACAGAAGACTCCAAGCCAGGGGTGTGGAGAGAGATATCTGTGTGTGGGAATGTGTTCAGCCTCCGTGAAACCAGATCCGCTCAGCAGAGGGGAAAAATGGTAAGAGTGGTGACCAGTGCAGCCTGTTTAAAATGGGTGCAACCATAGGTGGTACAGCTTGGGCATGAATAGAGACTGAAATCTGCCTCAGTCAGTGTAGATGTCACCTCTGTAATTAGCTACACTGACTTCTGATGTGTCTATGTTAATACACGAAGGTGTCTTGCTCAACCTGAATAACTGATAAGGTTTATCTCCAAACTAGTATTCAGATGGAGATCTAGACTGCTCTCCTAAACTGAGTTGCCAGTCTATTTGCTCTTCTGCAAGTGTCATAGTCATGCAGGCGTTTTCAAGAGTGCTTTTCTGATTCTCCTTCTTGAGTTTATGCTTTTAAGGTTTTCCACTTTTACTGTTTTATAGAATGCTGAAATATAATGACACATGCCTGGATACCTGGCTATCTATTCCCTCCAGAGCATTCTGAATTTTCCATTATTTTTTTTTTTCCAAAGCATTGGTGACATTTCCAGGAGATTATTTGTGTTGGTATGACTTGAGATCTCTCAGCACAAACAAATGCTAAGTGAACGCTTATTTAAATTATGCTCTTAGCTAGGAATGCTGACAGCTGACATGTGTGGATGAAAGGAAAGCCATGTATAAAGGTGTGTTTGAGGAAAACAGTAGAAAAAATGATGGAGGACGAAACAAGACTTGTCAAGAAGTTTGGTTTGGTTGTTTTTTTTCTTTTGTAAAAAAAAAAGGCAAGAGAGAAGCTGGCGCTGGACTCTCTATGGGTACCTTATATAGGACAGTCAGGCCCTGCTTGCAACTCCTTGCCTGGATTTTCCAGGCGGATTTGCGCTATGAAAGTGCATTATGTTACTCCTCAAGACAGGCCCGGGTGACTCCTCTCTCTTTGTCCCTCACAAGGTGGAGAATGAAACGAACCAGCTCCAGGATGGCTCTCTGATAGACCTGTGTGGAGCGACGCTGCTGTGGCGCACGGCGGAAGGGCTTTCCCGCACTCCCACGGTCAAGCACCTGGAGGCCCTGAGGCAGGAGATAAACGCGGCAAGGCCCCAGTGCCCCGTGGGGTTTAACACCCTGGCGTTTCCCAGCATGAAGAGGAAAGACGTGGTGGATGAGAAGCAGCCCTGGGTGTACCTGAACTGCGGCCACGTCCACGGCTACCACAACTGGGGAAACAAAGAGGAGAGAGACGGCAAGGATCGCGAGTGCCCCATGTGCCGCTCTGTCGGCCCCTACGTGCCACTCTGGCTTGGGTGTGAAGCGGGATTTTATGTGGATGCGGGACCTCCGACCCACGCGTTCAGCCCCTGTGGACACGTCTGCTCAGAAAAGACAACTGCATATTGGTCCCAAATTCCTCTTCCTCACGGTACTCACACTTTTCACGCAGCCTGTCCGTTCTGCGCGCATCAGCTGGCTGGTGAGCAAGGTTACATCAGACTCATTTTCCAAGGACCTCTTGACTAACACACGTATTACCGAGGACTGGAATAAGCTGATAAGCGAAGCTGTTCTGATTTTTTTAAACCAACTGTTTTTCGTATTCTCTGGGCTTTGCTGGTTTGCATTAAGATGAAGAATTTTTGTTAAAACGGCTAAATCCCTTTCTATTGAGAAAAGTCTGGAAATGGAAGAAATGGGGAGAAGGGGAAGAACTCCTGCTTTTTTTTTTTTTTTTAAGTTAACAACCACTTCTGAAGAGGTGAACAGAGTGTTGTAGAATGAACTTCAATGCCTTCCGTTTAATGGTTTTTGAATCACATGCCCGCAGTGTTTGGAAGTTGTTTCATTCTTTTTGTATATGGAGGGTAAATAGTTCAAAGAACATTAGTTTACAGCTTGGATGCAAATGTTGTAAAATATAACGTGTATATTAACTCTTTTCTATTTATCTTTATTATTGAAAAATACGTAGAATGTGTAGAGAGTAGCATGGTCATAGTGTGTTACATCCAGCAATTGGGTGTGTAGGGTAGTTCTGGATGGAGAAGGATGTGAGATGGAAATGGTAGAAAAATCTTTTTTAATCTAAAATACTGAGTTCTTAGAATAGTTAAAATGCTTTTTAAACAAAGCTAATGCAAACTATGATGGCATAAAGGTGTGCTTTAACCATGTTGAAAGGTAGCTAAGGAGGAGGACTTAAAATGTTTCTTTGGTAGGACTGTACTTAAGATCTGGTTATGAGGAGAATATTTACCAGACTTTGAATATGCAACTTAGTCTAGATTAAGGATTTTTTTCTCCCTTCATGCTAACACTTCTCTTTATTTAGCATTAGTGACATTTGTGAGGGTTTTTCCAGTGTTAAACATTAACAAAACTGAAAGATGAGGCTCATTTTGTTCCTTGCTCTTTGGGGCAGGGGGCGAGGGGTGACGTGCCCGTGTACGTGTGGGGAGCAACGTGGGAATCAGCCACAGTCCCAGCTTGTGCCCGGCTTGTCAGTCGCATGTTCCACCTTTCTTCTGGTGTGTGGGAGCCACGGGCTTCAGGTGTTTGCTTTGACCCTGCTGTGAGGTGCAAATACTCATCTAGGCCACATACGGAACGAAGTTGAAGCCTGGTGCCCAGGGGATGCCTGCCCGTGTCCTGGCATCCTTTTGCAACAAGACACCATTGTCAGGCTGTCAGGGGAGAGCTTGAGCTGGGACTGGACTTGTAGGCCTTGGTGTGAGATGTCTGATCACCCTGCAGTGGGCTCTAGTTCTTGGTGTGTCTCTTGCTGCTCTCCCCCTACCCTTCCTTCCCCTTCTGTATCCATCAGAAAAGGCCAGTGCACTACATCCAGCTTCGCTGCTAACCCACCGTGCTTCATGGCAGATACACAACCTGACCTTTTTAGGATTGAGTTGAGCTTTTTTGACCAGCTTCATACTTTTTTGTTTGTTTGTTTTTCAAAATACATACTGTGTAATTGACAGTAGCAAACTTCTGTAGCTTATAGCATAGCTTTAATTTTTCTTTTGAAGCTGTTCTAAAATTATCTTCGTTTAAAAAGAGACCTATGTTGCTTAGATGTCATGAATTATTTACTTTGTCAGTTGTTTCTCCATTTTTAAAAAGAAAATATATATATTGTTTGGTTCACTCAGGAAATGCATGTGTCAGGAAACCTGTATTATAAGTTCAGTTAGCTATCATGTACAAGTAACTGCTGTTACTCCCTTTCCATAAAAATATAACTGATTTTGACATTTTCCAGATTATATGCATTAAGTAATGAAACTTATGCAGCAAGAAACCCCTGTATTGTAGTTGTTCTAATCATTTTATTCAAACTATATTATACTGTAGTTTAATTTTTATTTGCAAATTAATTTATTCAAACTACATGAGTAAACACTTCTCAAAAATAGAAATTCTGGGATTGTCTGTTGCTTTGTTTCCAAGAGATGGGAAAGGTGGCTGGAGGTGTGTCACCGTTTGACTCAGGTCCGACAACAATGCTCTCGATCCCCCCTCCCCCCAACCCACGTAGGGAAGGAGAGAGAGAAAAAAGAGAGAGACTTGGCTGGATTGAAAACTAAACTACACAGCTTTAATTAAAACACTAATGAATCATACAAGAAAATATATACAATTATATACAAATATATGGGCAAAAACCTCTCGCCTCCCCCCCACCCCAGCAACTCCCACAGCACTTCCCTGAACTGGGAAGAGTCCCGAGGAATCCCGGAGCTGCTGCTGGAGAAAGCAGAGAGTTATGGGGGTCAGGAGATCTCGAGCCTAAGGGTCGACGGTGATGGATGAACAGAGTCCTGCCTGGACGCCGGTCATGGACGGAAGAGAAGGGGGGAAGAAGAAGGAAGGAAGTTGTCTCCTGTGATCTCTGACCTTCCTCTGAGCTTACGTAGATATATGGAATGGAATATCTTTGGCCAATTTTGCTGTCTGTCTAACTCAGCCTCCTACGGGGGGGTCACAGATCTCCCCATAGTGTCTGAGCTGGCAGAGTGCAGGTGCAGCCTTGAAGCCTCAGTAGTTAGAAAAACATTCCACTGTCTTATCAGCCTTGCAGAACACACTGTTGCTAGCTACAAGAAAGCTTACTGAAGGAAAAAAAAATCAGTAAAAAGAAAAATTGGCTTTATCCTGGCTCAAACCAGGACAAGGTGACCCTTTTGACATCACATAAGGTGTCCTGCACGTGTGAGTTAAGATAAAAAGAAGCAACTGTAAAGACTTTGCATGTTATCCTGGTCATGGATTTGAATGGCTTCTTTCAGATATGACCTTTGACTGTGTTTTATATTTAATCCTACATTAACAAAGGCAAGGTTGTTGTTCAGAAGACACAGTTAAATGATCTCTTCCCTGAGTACGTCACAAAGGTTCATGTCCAACACACAACCATCATTAAGCCTCGACCCCATTAAGGTGATCCATTATGCTTTCATTATACTTCTTGAACACTTCTGCCCTCTACCCTTCCCCCCTAAAAAAGAAACACCACAAGAGATGGTATAGTATTAGCAGAGCCAGCTGTTTCTCTGGTTAGAATTATTCTAAGATAAACTTCAGAGTCTACCCACACTCTCTGCCTGTTGCATACTTTTCTTGACCCAAGCTGGTCTTGTTAATTCCTTTTTTAAAAGGGTAGAACATGGGCATTCAAATGCCTGAGAGACAGAAATCCCACTGTCAAAAGCAGGATAGCAGCAGTTGAGTAGTTTGAGGAGCAGTTTCCGCACAACATGGAAGCTAACAAAGCAGTATTGACTGCAGTTCCCTATTTAAGTTCCCCCTGGGCTTCTGCTCTTTAGTAAACAATTTCAATGGAAGGTCTTGTACTCAGTAAACTGTAAAATTAATGTCAGATTAAAATGATCCCTTTGACTCAACCAGCTGACCTGAAGCACTCTGAACTTTAGGGCCTTTGCTTCTTAACAACTTTGGGAACATGGAGAAGTGCAAAAGTTGTGCTGGCTTTTGAGTCAATTACAGCTCCACTTGTGTGCAGCCTAAATCAGCCCTTTGTACCTACAAAACAGCCCCAAAAGAGGTCTGTGGCCTTAACTGCTTTCGAAGTTTTTTTCAAATGGAAGGAGGCATTGATAATGCAGCCAGCAGATGGGACAGGACTATTCCCCGGGAGGTCACCACAGGTATGTGGAACTGATGGAGGAATGTGTGTGGAAATGAGGTAAGTGTAGGCCCTTTTATAGCCTTAATGTTTTGTGAAGATCTGCAGAAGTGCAGAGAAATCAGCAGCTACCTTTCTGCAGTTGGTTTGTGCATGGCTGCTCTGTTCTGTGCAGTTCTTTGTGCGATGTGTAATGCAGGTGAGTTAATGAGCTAATTTGCTGCTCAGCTGCAGGAAACTGCATGGATTTAACACTGGTAGAAGGTGGCAGCTTGGCAGGCACAGCAGCTGGCTAATGAAGCTTTTTTTTTTTCCTCCCAAAAGCAGAAGTGGGGCACCTTGGTGTGTTGTTCCACAGCAGGGCGGGTAGGAGCATGTTCACAGGGGAGGTTGCTGGGGGCTTTCCCTGGGAAGGTGGTGGGTAGCCCAGCACAGATGGAGTGTTCTGTTGCCTTTGCTGACTCAGTCATTGAGTTCAAGCAGTACCATGAGTGTGTCATGCAGCTCAGAGGTGCGTGGTGGAGGCTGGGGATGAGGTTTTCTAAGCCCATCTGTGCCAGGCTTGTTGCACCCACAAGAATGAGGCTGATACCTGGAAAGATTTAAAGACACAAAGTCATCCCAGCAGTCCTGTATCTGAAGGTGCTCTGCAAATCCCATAATAACTCTGCTGTGGTATGCTTGATCTCCTCCTGAAGAGACACTTTCCAGGTCTGATTCTAAAAATACATCTCTAGTTTGGCAATGTAAAGCTAATGTGATGAATACAGCTACCTACCTGCTTGGTGTCTTTCAGCCTGTATTAGGCCTGCTTACTGTTGAATTGGACCAAATTTCCTGGTCCTAGTCCTGGCTCATGAACTCCCTTCTTCCTTTTCTGTAAAAACACTGGCAGAGCTCATCTATTTTTAATTGTAGTACTCAGCTTTAACATAAGGGCTGTTACCATCCCGGATCTGCAGCTTCTAAGGCTCTTTTGTGGCTATAGGAGATCACTTGTACACAGGCTATCATGCATCCCGTGAAAAAGAGATGGGAAAGCATCTCTGTGGGAGCCGCCATGGTTCCTGTGGCGTGTGGCAAGTGTGGCCTCTGCACAGGCAGCAGCAAGCCTGCCCATTCCCAGGTGCTGCTTCTAGGACAGGAGTGAAGAGTTCAGGACCTGGGTTGGTTGGGGTTTTCTTTTTAGCAGAGAACAGCACTGTGTGAAATTGTGCTGTTTGGATGTGGTATCCCATGGTAACGTACCCAGCGACACAAGCTGAGCCAGGGAAACACTGATGGGTGTTATTGTACAGTACACAGCTGGCTGCTCCACCTGGGCTGGGTGTGACTGGTTCTTGATCTGGTCCTGTCTCCCTTCTGAAAGCAAGAGGGTGGCAGATTTACAGAGCAGGAAATAAAAAGTGGTTTTATTCCCTCAGAGCTAAGCTGTCCCTGTGAGAGCTGCCAGCCCAAGCGAAGCCTTGGGAGTCTGTAAGGCCTGCAGCAGGACCAGTGGCTTCAGACATGCCTGAGCAGCATTAGCCATAAGCCCCAGTGCCTGGATCTTTATGTTCTGCCTTGTTCCCACTGTGAGCTACTGCCCGTCCTCCTCCACCCTCCTCTCTGCAGCCATAGCAAGCGGGAGACCTAACAGAAGCAGACGCCATTCACCTTGCCCAGCATGAGCTCCTGTGGGATTAAGTTAAGGCATTGGCTGGGGCTGTGTCCCCTGAGACTGAGCTTGAGGGAAAATGAGTAACCAGAGGCAAAGTTGCCAGCTTTGGCAGTCAGGAGCTCTCTGCCCACTCCCTGCCACTCTTTATTCTGCTGCTCAAGTGCCCAGCTCTCTGTCCCTGTCTGACTGCCTCTCTTGCAAGGCTGGAAGGAGGTAATGGGAACCAGCACCAGTGTTGCCCTATTTTCTGGCCTCTGGTGTTTGCCTGGCTCTGCTGGCAAGGATGTATTTGTGGCAGCAGCAAAGGCACCAGCAAATAACTTGGTTCTGCCATCCCTGCTGCGGGCCCAGTGCTTACTGTGCGGGGGATTGAGACATCTCATCTTCTGTGTGGGCATGAATGACCTTATGGATCAACTAGAGAAGCACTTCCCTGCTGGCACAGGCAACTCCTTTGTAATATGGCAATGCCTGCAGTATTGTGATGTTTTTATTTTGAATGCTTTTGCTGATTTAGTGTCACTGAACAGCTTTGAGACAGGAGTAAATCATTAATCTGCTCTGACTTCCTTCCTCCCTCTACCCTGTCTACATAGATAATAACAGCTCTGTACTGAGATCACTACAGGAGATCTGCTCCATTTCAGCAATACAATGAGGATAGATTCCTTTGGAATTACAACTCACACCAGGATCATCTATTTTTTTTCTCTTCCTAGTGGAAAGGTTTCATTGAAAAGTTTCCCATTCACAGCACTTGCACAGGACATGACGTACTCCTTATGAATGGCACAGAGAGGGTAGGTAGAAAATGATAACTCACATTTTCAGGCAGTAGATGAAAGTGCAGTACACAGTTAAATCACTCAGTGGTGGGGAGAGCTCCCTTATGTGTATTCTTATTAGTAACTCACCCTGTTGTCTTATTTATATCTTATTGTCCATATATTTGCTTCTGCTTAAAAAAACAATAATTAGATTCACTTTTCTTCTGCAGCTGTTTTATCTGGTGGTTTCTCAGTCATGTTTGCTCTGGTTACACTTTTTTATGTGAAATATATGATTTTTTTTTAGTGCACTGAATCATGTTGGCTGCACTCAGGTCCTGCAAGATGAGTTTTGGGCTTTTTTTTTGGTCATCTATTCTTCAGACTCGATAGTTTCCCTTCAGTCTGTCCTGGAAAATGCTGGAAATGTGATCTGGTAAAGAATAAGGGAAGAATGATGGCTTCCATGGGGTCCTGGGAAACAGCCACATGAAGGATGAGCATTTTATCTCTGGGCTGAGGAAGTCGACTTCTTTCCCTTAATGTTCAGATCTCACAGACTCTCAGCACCTCCCATGTCTCAGCACTCCAATATCTCTAAAATAACTTCTGAACACCTTACAAATGGGATCTACCCATGTTAGTCCCTTTGGTTGGCTGTAATTCAGGAGCTGAATGAACACTGACCCTTTAGTGCTTCCATATCCTCTTCTCTCCAAAATAATATTTTTAGCTAATCCCAGAAGATTTGAAACAAAACAAATGCATACAGTGATATTCTGAACTTGCCTGGATGCAAAGCTAAAAACTGCAGCTTGCTATCATGTACTGTAGGAAAGGGA